AGGAGTTGTGTTTGTGGGAGGCAATGGATAATGCAGTCTTCCAAGAGCATAATTTGAGTACTGGCCATGAAGCTACCTGTCTTTGAGTTACTCATCTTGGGAAAACGTTCAATATTTTCTACTACTTGTCTTTAAAAATCTTAAAAATGTAAACAGAACTGTTGTTAATAGAAGTGAATGCAGATATTAGGGTATTGTCAAGATATCCATTTATTAGAACCAGTTTTAGGATGTTATATATTCTAGGTTTGGGTTTAATTTTGATATTTTATTCAAGTCTTTATAAAATAATGAAGACATCCTTATTAATCATAACTGCCTAGTAAGTCAACCTTGACTTTCAGATTCATCCTTACACAATCTATTCATTTCTATACAATTCCTTCAACCATCCAAATGAAATATTTTTCAGAAAGTATTGTTGAGATAAGGGTTATATGGGAAAGAAAGAAAAAAATTAGAAATAAATTTGGAAAATTCTATAGGCATCAGTAATGTAACAATAAGAGACAAATAATTTGACAAGATCCATGGCCTAGTTCTCAAAGTACATTATTACTTTTCTATATTGCCAATAAATTGGGTTAAATTTTAACTCTCCCTTCCCCAAAAAAATAAACTGTAATTTTTTTATGTCTTTTGCTCTAAGTTTTCATAGTTTACAAAAATAAAAAGTCAAGTATCATCTAAATATCCAGAGTTGATTTTCTCTCTAACCCTCCCTAACCGTAGAACACCCACTAGATCTCACTTGTGCCCCTCAAGGCCTAGCTTTACTCCCTGATGAAATTGTTAATTTTTAAGAGAACAAACTTTTTTTTCCTTAAGAAAAAAAAAAGATAATATGCTTTTTCAATAGCTAATAATACCTTATCCTATGGTTCCCATAAACTTAAATGCCTTATGGCCAGACAAGTATCACAAAGATATGAAGTAACCTAGCATAAGATTGAGATGTAAAAAGCCTAAGTTCTGAAATATATTTACAATATTAAAATTGTTCTCACAGCCAGGTAAAATGCTGCAGTCACCAATTTTCAGACCCTTATTAATCCTTGTCATATTCATTATGGAATTTTCTTATATCTAGTAATTATTTAGTATATAGATGGATGGATGGATGGGTAAATAAATGGATGTATCAGTGAATGGAAAGATGGTAGACTATTTCATAAATGATGACTTTTTTTTTGAGCTGGAGCTACCAGCTACCCAGCTGGAGTACAGTGGCGTGATCTTGGCTCACTGCAACTTCCACCTTCCTGGTTCAAGTGATTCTCCTGCCTCAGTCTCCCAAGTTGCTGGAATTACAGGTGCCCAACACCATACCCAGCTAATATTTGTATTTTTAGTAGAGATGGGGTTTCACCATGATGACCAGGCTGGTTTGGAACTCCTGACCTCAAGTGATCCACCTGCCTTGGCCTCCCAAACTGCTGGGATTACAGGCATGAGCCATTGCGCCTGGCCTAAATAAACAACTTTTGATTAGAAAAGTTGTTTTTGGCTGAGTGTACCCCCTCAAAATTAAATAAGTAAATAATACAGTTGACTTTTGAATAACACAGGTTTGAACTGCATAAGACCACTTACACAGGGATTTTCATCCAGCTCTGGCATCCCTAGATGGCAAAACCAACCCCTCCACTTTCTCCTTTTATTCAGCCCATTCACCATGAAGGCAATAAGGTTGAAGACCTTTACAATAATCCTCTTCCACTTAAGGAATAACAAATATATTTTCTCTTATGATTTTCTTAATAGCATTTTCTTTTCTCTAGTTAATTGTTAGAATCCATTATCTAATACATATACAAACTATGTGTTAATCCACTGTTTATGCTATTGGTAAGGCTTCTGGTCAACAATAGCCTACTAGTAGTTAAGGTTTTGTGAAGTCAAAGCAATATGTGGATTTTAAACTGTGCAGACTGAGATCAGCACCCTTAACTGCCACATTGTTAAGGGTCAACAGTACTTGCTTTACTTTTCTTTTTTTTTTTTTTTTTTGCAAAGGTTATTGGGGTGCAGGTGATATTTGATTATATAAGTTCTTCAGTGGTGATTTGTGAGATTTTGGTGCACCCATCACCCAAACAGTAGACACTGCATCCTACTTGTAGTCTTTTATCCCTGCCCCCCTCACCTTTCTCCTCAAGTCTCCAAAGTCCATTGTATCACTCTTATGCCTTTACATCCTCAGAGCTTAGCTCCCACATATCAGTGAGAACATACAATATTTGGTTTTCCATTACTGAGTTACTTCACTTAGAATAATACTCTCCAATCTCATTCTAATCACTGCAAATGCCATGAATTCATTTCTTTTTATGGCTGAGTAGTATTCCAATGTATATATATACCAAAGTTTCTTTATCCACTCATTGCTTGGTGTGAATTTGGGTTGGTTTCACGATTTTGCAATTGCAAATTGTGTGGCTGAGTGAGGCCAATTGTGACCAGAAACTCTTTCATACAAAGGTTGTTGATAGAAAATAAGCATTTTACAGAAAGGCAAAAGAAAATCTGAGAGTATTACTACTTCTAATTACTACTGCCAGAGGAAGACTGAAAACTTTTTCAAACCACTTTATCCATTTCACTAAGATTAAGAAACACATGAAAATATAGAGCTGGAAGTGTTCCTTGTTATCAGTCCAAATGTCTAATTTTACAGAAAAGAAAACTGAGGCCCAGAAAAATAAACACATGTTCATAAACCATACAAATATAATATATGCAATACTAGACTTCTCTTTCTGAGATTCTTCCTAGAGCATCCCACTGTCTTCAAGAAGAAAAAAGGATAGTTTTATATTGTGATTCACTTTGTTCCCCGTCAAAAAGGCATTTCCTCAAATGTTACAACACCTAGTGTTCTAACTCGTACAATGAATTACATCAATATTGCTTCAGCTGCTATCTTTGAACTCTCGGACATCTTTGGACAGTAATTTAAGAGTTTCTGAATTACAGTATAAGGGTTATTTATAAAAGCTGTTAACTTTCAAACTATTTAACTCCCATAATAACCACTATGGCAGACTATTTCATTGGTAGATGCCAATAAGCCATGTCTCTTGGTACTTATGCTCTTATAAGTGACTCCAGACATTGATTTTGAGCATGCCCGAAGACTAATGGTAGTAACGGTTTAGCATCTTCTAAAGATCTTAGACTTATATCATCTAAGAACTAAGAATATAGAAAAAGGTATAAGATTATTAAACAGAATGGAGAAAACTGAAATTATAACAGCCTTAAAACCCCATTCCTTTTAAATGGCCAATGATATAGTAAAAAATATGATGTAAACAGAGTATTGAAAATCACTTGCACATTGAGGCATGTTCCCTTGGAATTCTCTCCCTTAGAGTCCATTCATGCTTTAAGGAAGTTCAGGCCAGATTTCACTATTAGAAAGGAAGAGGCCACACTGCATAGCACTGAAATGCCAGTCAGATGATTGACTCCAGTTCTGCAATCCTCCACCTGAACCCTCTTTAAATACCGGATGAACACAATTGTAGGAAATAACGACTGTTACAGTTTTGAATTACTAAACTCTGAAGTGATTTGTTACATAGAAATAAGTATATACCTAATCAGAAACTGAGTAGAGGTATTAATTAAAGGAGATATCTAAAGCAGGAGGGGTCAGGGTGTGCAAGAGGGCATTAAGTACATGCCCGAAGACTAATGGTAGTAACGGTTTAGCATCTTCTAAAGATCTTAGACTTATATCATCTAAGAACTAAGAATATAGAAAAAGGTATAAGATTATTAAACAGAATGGAGAAAACTGAAATTATAACAGCCTTAAAACCCCATTCCTTTTAAATGATTTTCATATTAAATATGATAAAGATTAAATATAATGAAATTTTCCAATGGCCTCATAATGTAATACTTTATTATCCCCCATTGTATGACTGAAGAAACAGAGACCTAGAGGAATTAAGCAATTTGCCTCAAGTTTCTCAGGTTTTAAGGGGAAGCAGCTCCAAGGCAATAGTTGATTGCATAAAGCCCAGGGAGGTTTCTTACCATCTCCTGGATAGATGAGTGAACCACATCCTCTAAATTAGTATTCCTCTTAGGAAATGACATTTTACTTTTGTGAAAATGTCAATATATCATCTGAAAGCAACAGTACAACTCAGAGAACTGATTAATTCTGGTGATGCTATCATATTGCCTTAATATTGGAACATTAGTAAGCATCACTATTTTTCTGTTTAAAAATGTTGAAGGGTTTTTACTTCTATGTTTCATCTCATTTTAATTTGTAGCATCACTCTCTTCACTCATGCTCTGATTATGGTGATTTGAAAACTAATGAGATAAATGAAGGATCACAAATTATTCCAATCATGAATAGTATTTTTAATTATATGACAGAAAAATCTATGGAGGCCAGGTGCAGTGTCTCATGCCTGTAATCTCACCAATTTGGGAAGTTGAGGCAGATGGACTGCTGAAGCTCAGGAGTTCAAGACCAGCCTGGGCAACATGACCAAATCCCATCTCAACAACAACAAAAAAAAATTAGCTGGGCAAGTTAATGGTCCTAGCTACTCAGGAGGCTGAGGCAAGAGACTGCTTGAGCTCAGGAGGCAGAGACAGCAGTGAGGCAAGACTGCACCACTGTACTCTAGCCTGGGAGGCAGAAAGAGATTCTGTCTCAAAAGAAAAAAAAAAAAGAAGGCAGAAAGAATGAAAAGAAAAGAGAAAAAAGAAAGGAAGGAAGGGAGTAGGGAGGAGAGGGGAGGGGAGAGGAGAGAAAGGGAGGAGGGGAGGGAAGAAGGGAAAAAGGAAGGAGGAAGGGAAGGGAGAAAAGAAAGAAGGGGAGAAGGAAGGGAGAGAGGGAGAGAGGGAGGGAGGGAAGGAGGGAGAGGAAGGAAGAAAAGATAGAGGGAGGGAGCGAGGGAAGAATAAAGGAAAAACAAACAAAATACGATGAATTCAATGCTCATGTTGCATTGTTTTTTTGTTTCTAGGTTAGCATGGTAAAAATCCCACACATAATGAGAATTCAGGAGCACAGTATCACAATGGCCAAGGTAAACAACCTTGTGAATTTCTTTTGCATGGACTATATTTGAAGCTCTCAGTGTTATTATTTCATCTTTCAGTTAAACACACAGACATGTAAATACACACATGTATTTACAATTAGTTGTAAATGCCAAAAGAAACATGAACTAGGCCATAAGTTATTAGGGACAAAACTGAATGCCTCTTACAGACTTTTAAATTACACTGTTATCTTCACCCAAATTATTTGTATTTAAGGATCAATAGTAACATATTAGTAAGTAGTCAAAGTACAATAAACAAGAGAAAAATATTTATAAAAACACTAATAATATATATTTCCACTTCTAACCATGATGGGTAACTGGTATTGAACATGTTTCCCACCATAAATAACTGTAAAGCTGGGCAAAATCTACGTAATAACTTGCTTCAGAGGTTGTACAACATACAACACTGAACTGAGACCTTTGAGAGACCCTTAAGCTCCATGATTGCTTTGGCTTTCTTCCTAGAGGCAATTTTTGGAGGTGGTAGTAGTGGGGGTTGCTAAGAAGAGTACAGCAGTTTCACTGAATTGAGAAGACAGAAAGTGGGGCTCAAGGGTAGTGAAATGGTTGGAATGATTAAGGAAGATAGCTGGAAACAAGGGAGTTGTGCAGTTTAAGACTTCCATAAATCTTCATAGATGGTCTGCTTGAATATTTTGCTAAACATTAAGCCTCACATCTGTAACAGGACAAGACTCCCAATGGCCAACAGAAAAAATAAATACTGGAGGAAGGATCTGAATAACTATGAGAACATGAATACAAAGAGCTAAGGGAGACCCTGCTGAATACTCAGGGCATTGGGAGAGACCCTATAAGAACCACACCTTGTGTGCAAATCTAATACAGTGCCAAATTCGAGGCTATTTTAGATCCTCTTTACAGAAACTTTAAACAACTCTTAAATTATATGCAAGCAAATTAATTGCTTGCAGAAACAATGCCCAATAAATCATTAATAAAACAAAATGATAATATCTAGACATTCAAGAATGTATAATTCATAATGTTCAGTATAAAATAAAGTTGTTAGAACTGCAATGAACCTGAAAAATAATGTCTTTAACCAGGAGATAAATCCATAATTAGAAGCAGACCTAGAAATCACAGACATGATGAAATCTACTGTTAGCCCATGCTTTGAGTTCTTTATTTTAGTTATATTTTTTCATTCTTATGTAAAATATTAGTGCTAATATTTTCATTAGAAACTGGACATATTTTTAAATCTTTGAATCTTGGTACTCCTTCTGCAAAAAAAAAAAAAAAAAAGAAATAAAAACCTGATTATATTTTGCATTATAAGTATTACATAATATATAAAATGCCCAGCTTAGTATTTCATACACAAGAAACTATTTTTGGAGGGCTAGAGATATGCTTAAAGCTACCTGAGTTAGGATATAAAAATACCTAATAATATATTGAGGATATGTCAGTAAATAGCAGTCACTAGAATTTGTGCATAAGTAAATTACTCATGGTTGTTATTGAGTTTAACTTCATGTTTATAAAATTACAAGCATTTTTATAAACCTATTTTATGTTTTGTATCATATTTTATTTTTAGAACTATCTTAGAGAAGACAGGTACACTATTATTCTCATCTTAAGTATGAAAATAAATGAAGTGCAGAGAGGATAAGGAACTTGCCCACGGTCCTACAGTAGGTAGGTTACAGAAGCAGGGATCAAACTCCAGCAGTAAGTCTCTAGATCCTGAGCTTCCATCATTTTCTGTGTTTAAGGAATAAAGTATAGTAATAAAAAATGTGCTTTGAATTTCTGGTTGAGAGGATTTCTACAAATGATAGATTTTATTGAATTAGTCACTATGTTTCTCTTCAGGGTTCTTTTAATGCCTGTTTATATCTCTTTTTTAAATGGATGAAGACGGAGTTCAGCTCAAGACTACTTTATTCAGAACTTAAAAAAGCTGACTAATGCTCATAATAATGAGATTCTGAATTATGTGTGCATGATTTTAAAATGTCTCAAGAGAAATTTAGGTTAGAATTTGTAAAATACTTCTTGACAGGAATGGTTCTTAACGAGAAACTCAGAACAACTCAACATCAAAAATAAAACTCAATTAAATTTTAAAATGGGCAAATGAACTGAATACACATTTTTCAAAAGAACACATACAAATGGTCAGTACATATATGACTAAAAATGCTCAGCATCACTAATCATCAGGAATGCAAATCAAAACTACAATGAGCTATCATCTCATGCCAGCTAGAATGGGTATTAAAAAGACAAAGTTCGTAGGAATGTAAGTTAGTGCAGGTATTATGGAAAACAGTATGAAAGTTCCTTTAAAAAACTAAAAATTTAACTACTATATGACCCAGCAATCCCAATACTGGGAATAAATCCGAAGTAAAGAAAATCAGTATGTCAAAGAGATATTTCTACTTCCATGTTTATTGAAGCACTACTCACAATAGATGAGATGTGGAATCAACCTAAGTACACATCAAGAGATGAATAAAGAAAAGGTGGAATACATATACATAGAATATAATTTAGTGATTAAAAAAGAAAAATAAACTTGTCATTCTCAGCAATATGGATGAGCCTGGAGGACACTATGTTAAGTGAAATAAGCCAGGCATTGAAACACAAATACTATATGTTCTCACTTATTTGTGGAAACTAAAACAGTTGCTCTCATAGAAGTAGAGGCTAGTACAGTAATCAGTGGAGGCTGGGAAGGGTAGGGGATTGGGCTATAAGATTTATGAGATTCCTTAGCAAAGCAACAGCTATAGAGGGAAAGAGAGAGAGAGAGATTACACAATGATAAAATTGAAGTGAAAATTGGAGCAGTTTAAAGTTGCAGAAGAGTCATAAGATAGAAGAAACTGTTAGTTTTTCAATAAATGAAAATATACAATTTAGGATAAATTATAGGCAATGGAGAAAGTTGTACACAAAATTCCCTGAGCAGTTATGAAGCAGAGTTACGTGACAAGAGAGAATTGCACTTTTAAAATATGATACTAAGATTCTAAGAAAATTCTTAGAAAATTTTACACTGGCTGTCCTCCTTATACAGAATTTTTTAGTTTTATATCAGTTCCACAGATATTTATGGTATATCTACTAAACAAAAAACAGAGAATTGTGCTGAGTGAAATATCAGGTTTATACCTAGGAAACTTACACATTAGCAAAAGAAATGAGATATTCCCAGATAGCTCTCATTTAATCAGATGTGAAAAGTAACTAACAAATTAAGTGCCAGAGGGAAAATAGATTTCTTTTAATTCAGTGTGACTTAAGTTTAACTTTTAAAAAATGTATTGACTAAACTACAAAAGATTCCACAGTACCACAGACTGCAGTCTGAAGTATTGTAAGAATCTCGTGTCTATCACAATTCTACCTTCCTTTATTTAGGCTTCCCTTGTGAATAGAATGTTTACTTGTGATACTCCCAGCTTATGTCTTCTTTGATTAAATTCCAATAGAAAACAAAACAAAAATCTCTTTCCCAAAAGTTCTAACTAGCATTCTGGACCTGATTCTTATTTGTCTCAACTAAGTTATATGTTTATCTACGAAGCAATCCTTATGGCTGGATGCAAGGCTGGGGAGCGTGGAGTGGACAGACTGGTTTAACTATATGTCATCTTCATGTGAGCTGAGGACTGTGGAGGAATGGTTTCCAAGGAATATCAAGTTACTGTTATAAGAAGCAGGGAAAATAAATGTTAAACAGGGGTGTGTGTGTGTGTGTGTGTGTGTGTGTGTGTGCATGTGCATTCTATATATGGAATGTATTTGCATCCAATCATGGAAAAACTCAATCGTGGCTCATGCCAAAGAGTTATTGTTTTCTTAAGAAGTCCAGAACGAAGCATTTCCAAGTCTTAAGATTTTAGCATTCTACTCAACCACCCTCAGTATGTTGCCATCTTTCCTATGGCTTTATTTCCTCACACATTCACATAATAAATTCCTCCTTATGCAGCTTTCTCAGTGAGAAAAATATATTCAAAAAGTATTCAGCACAAATTTAACTATACCCTTGTGGCCAAAACTGGATCATATGTCACAAGGGAGAATAGGTTGCCATTATCACAGGAGACCAATCATGATTTATGACTCTGCATTGGGCTTTTTGCAGTTCTAAATCAATTTGTGATATTAGCAAAGAAAAAGAGGTAATGGCTACTAGATGGACAGCCAATAAAATCTGCCAGATGTTCAGAAAGGCAAAATTAACCTGGAAGTTGTGTGTAGAATGGATGAAGGGGATGAGTTATAAGAGGCAGTGCTGGAGAACATATGGAGGAAGGGCATCAACCAGAGCATTGCTGGTGAGAATCTGTCTAATGTTTGTGTAAGTTTAACCTTGGAGGACATAAGCCATTATTCAATGTGAAGTTACTTTTAAAAAGGAGAAAGAAGTGGAGATCCTCCTTGGCTTTCACTATGTACCACCAGATTGTATACTTGCTTTAATTTCCTCATTTCCACATGAGATTACTTAAAATTATCTAATGTGCCTCTCATTTAATTTCTATTGAATACTTTTAAACCTCCTTCTTACACTCCTAACAAACTCTTTGGCTTCTTTCTCTGGCAAAGACAGTGTGCAAAAGAAGATTTAATGCCATATTTTACATAATAAAGTTTCTTCACTTCCACCAACTTAACATTCAGCATTTGGCCTTTTGCTCCTTGGTTGTTGTTTTCTACTTGAGTTTTCAATTCTTCCTTAAAGAAATTAATACCAATTGGGTGATATGACAATTTAAAGCAGAAAATGACTTAACAATGGCAAAAACACTGTCATGAACAATATTAATACCTTATGAGTGTTTTTATTTTCTGAGAATAGGAAAATAAGCTCTGAAACATTTTAGAATATTAATTTTAAATTTACATTATCTCACAAAGATTGACTAACATAATAATCATTTCCTTTACTATATGATGTTATATATAATCAAGATATATTTATATGACTTTAATATATTTTATTTAATGTTTTCCTTCTAGGAATTAAAATAATACTATGTCCCAAGTTTCTGCATTGGTAAATTTTTCTGCCAAAAAATGCAAAAAGAAAATGTAGAGTAAATGTGCTTTAATGAGCCACTTCTAGCTATATGTTAGTTTGAAATATTTGTCTTTTTTAAAGTGATATGAATACCCAATAAAGGTTTTTATACATTGTTATCAACAAATTGAAAAACTGAAGCTTTAATCAAGTTAGTGTTTCCCAAGGTCGAGACCATCCTGGTCAACATGGTGAAACCCCGTCTCTACTAAAAACACAAAAACAATTAGCTGGGCATGATGGCGTGTGCCCGTAATCCCAGCTACTCAGGAGGCTGAGGCCGGAGCATTGCCTGAACCCAGGAGGCAGAGGTTGCAGTGAGCCGAGATCGCGCCATTGCACACCAGCCTTGGTAACAAGAGCGAAACTCTGTCTCAAATATATATATATAAACATGTACATAACATACAAATTAAAACCCTTTGGTCTGGGAAAATGTGGCACATATATACCATGGAATATTATGCAGCAATCAAAAATGATGAGTTCGTGTCCTTTGTAGGGACATGGATGAATCTGGAGAACATCATTCTCAGCAAACTGACACAAGAACAGAAAATGAAACACCGCATATTCTCACTCATAGGCGGGTGATGAACAATGAGAACACATGGACACAGGGAAGGGAGTACTACACACTGGGGTCTATTGGGGGGAATAGGGGAGGGACAGTGTGGGGAGGAGCTGGGGAGGGATAGCATGGGGAGACATGCCAAATGTGGGTGAGGGGGCGGAAGGCAGCAAAACACATTGCCATGTGTGTACCTATGCAACTATGTTACATGTTCTGCACATGTACCCCAAAACCTAAAATACAATAAAAAATAAAAAAATAAAAAAAACTGTTTGAGGCAAAAAGTAATAACCTATTACTAAACATAGAGAACAGAGATTAAATATCAAACATTTGTTAAAGGTTAAAGAGATATCTTTTGTCTATTTTTTCCTATGTTGACAAACTACTCAATCTGCTAGCTCATATAATGAAAACAACTGAAAGAAAATTCATCAGAAAAACTGAATACTTACCAAGCCAAACTAATTATGTACACACATATATTGATTCTTCTAGTATACTGTATCAAAGCAACTAAGCATTATTGAAGTTGTTTATGTTGTGCATGTTCAAACAAAGTTACTTCTGGCCTAATTCATTTCCCATCAGAATTCACAAAGGATTTTATTGCAACAATTACAAAGTAAGGTACAAGTGCAATTAAAGGCAATAGCCATGTAATCTTCCAAGATCACAAGAACAGATAAAGAACTCTTACTACTGGACTTAAAAGTCAAAAGGAGAGCTAAATCATCTCATCATTACTTTAAGAAATATAAGAACAAAAAATTTTGTATTAATATATAACATTTTTTTCTTAGTTCAAAACAATCAAATTCTATTTTGGAAAAGTAAATACAATAAAAAAATAAATAGAAGAACAAGCTTAATCAAACCAACATGTTATCGGCAAATAGTTACTGTTGCTGTCATAGATACAGTTCATTAGTTAAAAATCTGACTGAGGGTGGAGGGTAGGTTGGTTATTTTCTCTGCCCATTTTGTTCGATATAAAGTGACTTGTACCCTATTGGCTGG